GGGCGGGGGGGGGGGGCGGGCAGGGGAAGAATTATATAGAGAAAAAGAGGGCAACCCACCTGGCTTCATCTTGGGAGCTTGAATTGGACCCAGCAGTTCCACCATAAATCAGTGGATAAACAGGGGACTTGTTGAGATTAGAGAAATTGATGGCTTCTCCCTAGAATTTTGAATGAAACACTAGTGCTTAAAGCAACGCAATAAGATGGGCAAACATGAACAGAGAATAGTTTCAATTTTTGACGCAGCATACATACCTTGATGGTCTTGGTGGTGGTTGAACCTCCAGAACCAAGGACCAAATCAGATTCGAAATCTCGATCGATAGTGGTGGCAGCAACAGTGAGTATCCAAGGTGCAGAGTTAACAACCGAGCTTGAATCGGGGCCACCATTGCCGGCGGAGCAGACGACCAGGATTCCGTGCTGGGTTGCGTGGAAGGCACCAATTGCAATGGGATCATTGACAAAGTCAGGTTTGAAGAAAGGGGAAGCCCCAAGAGATAAAGAGAGAATGTCGACTCCATCTCCAATGGCATCATCGAAGGCGGCCAATATGGCAGAGCCCTTGCACCCCTCTTCGGTGCAGACTTTGTACACGGCTAGCCTCGATGTGGGGGAACCACCCTTGGCGATGCCCGCAGCAAGGCCGTAGTAGTTGGCCCCTGCAACCAGGCTGCCAGCTGCAGTGGAGGAGGTGTGAGTTCCGTGGCCGAGCGTGTCCCTGGGTGTGTCCTGTGCGGTCCATGCTACTGAAGGGGAGTTGTCTTTGTAGTAACGAGCTCCGATCAGTTTCCTGTTGCCCCAACACAAATCCTTAATCAGCTTACTTTACTGGGCCTTTCAATCTACAACTTGAACGATCGCTTTCAAGTTTGAATCAAACAAATTTTCTCTTTCCCTCCCTCCATCTCTCTCTCTCTCTCTCTCTCTCGGACGTAACAAAACATGCAACCGCCGTCAACATTAAGGATGGCAACGGGCCGTACCTGGAATGGGCCAAGCCGTGGCCCTTGTTCTTTTGGAGCTAGCCAAGGCCAAGACCTGGTCCTATTAAGGTCGGGCTGGCCTGGGCTCTATCCGGGCATTAGACCACGTTTTGTAGCCCAAGCCCTATTTTTTTTTAGGGCTGTACTGCCCAGCCTATTGTCAGCCCCAATCAACATTACTTGTTTATTAGATTATTGGAAAAATATGGACATACGTGGGAAAATAAAAATAAAAATAAAAATAAAGGGTGCAGTTTGTATAGAGTTGAAGCTCTAAACAATCAAATTAGAACCCACCTTAAAAATAATGTTGAGAAATCTGGTTTTAATATTGGAAATCTTTAACTAGCCTTAAAATATATCTTTAATTATAAATTTAAAGATTAAAAAATAGTATAGATCGAGTAGATCTATGAAAACTTGAATAACTGAAAAATTGACGGTCCAAAATTGTGTTACAAGATGCACTATTTTCAAAACTTGAAATCTAATTTTTTTCTAAACTTGAAATCTAATTTTTTTCTGTAAGTCCATCCATCTTGATGTCGTGATGATCAATTTGAGGATATTTAAGCATCAAAACAACATCTTCTAGTGAAAATTTGAGGTAGGCTCTAATTTGATTGTTTAGAGCCAAGGCTCTATATAAACTTTTTCCAACCTGAACCCTTTTCTATTTAGGGTACTATGCTATGGTTTATATTTTCGATTATTGTATGCTGAGGTCCAACATGAACCCTTTTTTTTTTTTTTAATGTTTTTCCTACTTCATTCCCCAGTCAGATATTTCCAATTTGCAACTGCATTTTAATTTAAACTTTTTTGATAGGTATTCTAAACATCAGGCACCCCTATGGTTAGTGGTGAGTCGATCACCTAGCCAGCGAAAGTTTTAATCAGGCCTAGCGATCCGATTTTCCAAACATCGGACTTCCTTATAGTAAACAGGCCTTAAATATCGAACGGCTCAATAAAATTAAAATATTTTGAAGTCTGGAGTAGTATGATAGTAGTGATATCGAACAATGCCAAAGTGAGTCCAATGTTTGGAAAATCAAATCGACCGTCAATATAACTCCAACCCTTTAGACAACCCCACAAATAAAAAACAAAACAAAATTAAGATAAAAAAGCGGTCAAATGTTGAAAAAAATAAAAGAGGCCATGAGGGTGGACCTCATTGTAAAATACTTAAAATTATGGATCATGGCCTAGTATCCTATTCTTTGGAGGTCCTTATATAATTTTTCTTCGAGTCTTTTCATAAATAGAATTGTCCATAAACCAGAGAATTCAATATCGGTTGGTTCCGGTTTGGGCGGGTTCAAGTGATGTGATTGGGTATTTTGAAAAAATTCAAAACAAATTATATAAAATTGAAAAAAATAAAGGATTTGTTTGTAATGTGTGTTTAAATATTTTTATCATTTTGGCAAAGATTGAAAAGTGTATTGGTCATTAATATTTATTTTTATATTTTTCCATCCTTTCTAAAAATTTCAAAAAATATCTCTAGAAACAAATCATTTTTTTAAAATTCATTTTTCTAACTAATTTTCAAATTTTTTTGGAAGTGTTTTGTTTAATCATGTTTTAAATATACTTTCCATATATTTTTTTGATTGTTTTTGTATATATATTTTTTCATTTAACACTTTTTGACCGGCAGGATGGTTAAGCCGATCTAACCGGTAAACCGATTACACGGAGGCCTGTTCGATTTTTCAAACTCTCCCATAAACTCATGCCAAACGATAGAATGCTCGGGCGGTATCGTATCAGCCATTGTCCCTAGGTAAAGCCCTACTAGGAGTATTTTACGACCCGAGATTTTGGGGAAATAACCAACTTAACCACGTGACCAACACATTCTACAGGCCCTGAGAAAAATTGACATACTAAGATGGACCATTGGTCATTCAATTTTCGGACAATCAATCTAGGTAATTAAGAACTCAATATCTAATTTCTTTATTTTATTTAAAAATATTCACAGTAAAGAGATCCTAACATTTGAGTCGGAAAACATCCTCTTTTGCCTTGAATTCATGCGTGTATGGTTCTTTCTAAATAACGCAGGGGCAACGCTGTCCATAAGAAAGATGACAACCTTTCCAGGAAAAAATTGTTCAAATTTTCCTTTTCGAGTGTTTTTTTCAAAAAAGATATATGTTTAATTTCGGGAGGCAACGGGTTAGGTTGGGTCCGGGTCTAGCTGGACCTGGACTTGGACCCGAAAATAAAGTATCGGACCTAAACTGATTAGACTTGAAGTTATCAGACCAAACCCGACTGAAAAATTATAAACAAATTATTTTAACTGTTAAGTTAAATATATACACGTATTATTTAAAATAAAATATATAGTTACATTTATTTTAATATTATTAAAATATATAATATTAAATATTATTTAAATAATAATACTATTCGGAGTCGGATTTAGATTGCGGAGACATAGAAAGAGGGAGATTGGGGCTTCTTAGCTTCTACTCCAACGCAGGGAGAGAGATGGAAAGATTATTGGCATGAGGACTCGGCTTCTCACCCTATGTGCGAGGCAGGTTTGCTCGAGCAAGTTGTATACCAGGCCTCGGACTTTATATTCATTAAAATGTCAATTTTAATTTAAAGATGCTCAAATGATTGGAGTTTAACTCCGCCTCGGCTAATTCTGAGTACCTCGGCCGAGCCAATTTTCCGTAACATCGATTGGAATTTAGTTAGTGAAACATGATAAGCTGTAGCAATTATGAAACCAAGAAGCTAAAGTCATGATGGAAGAGAATTAGTAGTGAATCGTGGGGGCACTCGGGTAGCCTTGCCAGCAAAATGATGGACAGCAACAAAGAAAAAATATGCAGAAAAGCTGAAGCTTACAGGTCCTCAATGTCTACAAAAAAAAGAAAAAAGAAAAAAAAGGTAATGAAGATGAACAGTCCTCACCTGTTGCAATATGAAGAGTTAAAATCCTTGCCTTCCATGCATACGCCCTTCCACCTTGCTGGAATGGCCCCCATATCCATATCATCAAAACTAGGAGACTCGGGCCAAACTCCTAATTTCACCAACATCTTTAATCAAATGCAATACATGAAATGAATGGTCGATGAAGCTCTAATCGATGAGTGAACTCACCAGTGTCAAGGAGTCCTATAATGGTGTTGGTGTTGTTACGAGAACCAGAGTCAGAATCCATGTCAGAATACGGTTCAAGCTCAGTGTGCTCTTGCAAGAAATCCCATGAACGAGTTGTGTGAAGTTGCAAAAATGGATCGACAAACACCGATACCACTTGTGGTTGTTTCGCCATGGCTGCTGCATGTTGTGCTGTCAACCGTGCTGCAAACCCTGAGAAACCATTCATGTAGCTGCGTACCAATAAACCCTGGGAATGGGGCTTTTTGCTGAACCCAAATTAAAGAAAATTATTTAAGTAAATGAGTGAGAAAATTGCTGAATCCAAATTGAAGAGAATTATCCAGAGCAAGATTGAGGTAAATGAGAGAGACCTTGCTGTAATTGATGATATGAGTTCCAAATGATCAGAGACCGGATCTTCATTCTTATTACCAGGGGCCCCCATATAAACTATGTATACGGTCGTGTCCGATTCGATCCCTTCGGAAAGAAGGGAGAGAAGTACAAACAAGAAAAACTGGAAAAGCATGGCATTCAAACAATAAGAATAGCGTTTCATATCCATGAATGGATTCATTAAGCTCACATCGAGAAATGAACTGACTGCAATTTATAAGAATGAACATGTAAATTGCCATTTGTTCACGATTCATATATCATGGAATGCCCCTCATAACATTCTTGGCTTTACCATAAAAGTGCGTCAGCTCCCAAGTTATCCAGGAATCTTTTATCTCAGAAATGGTTATGGAAACTGGTTCTTATATCAAGAAAATTACACCAAAAGGAGTCTTATATCATACAAGAAAAGTGAATGTTAAAAAACATAAAAGGAAAAAAAACAAGAAACAGCATATGGTAGTATACTTATTATATGGGAATCAACCATTCATCCTATGTGAGAGATGAACCAAAATACATCGAATCATTCATTTTTTATCACGATGGATAGCAAATGCTCCCGTGGTGCTTCATTTGCTTCTCTGGAATAAACAAAGGAATAACATTCTAGGGTTCAGCCCGACATTTGGACCCGACCCAGGTCCAGGTATGGGTCCAAGAATTGAATTTGGTGGGTTGGGTTCGGGTTCAAATATAGATCCGACCGGAACCGACTCGTTATTATATAAATAAATATTAATATAATATTTATTTAATATTCAAATAAATATAAATATATATTTTAAATTATAATATTTAAATATATTTAGGTATATATATTTTTAATTTTTGGGTCGGGTCCAATCGGGACTAGTCGGGTCCGGTCCCATAATTTGTTTTTCGAGTCTGGACCTGAACCAACCTAACCCATTGCCACCCACAGAAGATATAGTTTCAGTTCTAGAATAACCCCTCGGATGGCTAGAACATTGATATTTGTCCTAAATATGAAAAACTTAAAGCCCCAAAAATGGCAGATCGATCATCATCATCACCCAAGCCTTATTCCAACAAATTGGATAGATATATAAATACTTCAAAATATTAGAAATGGATTGTATAGATATTGTTTCACTAGATACAATATTTTTAGGGAAAAGTTTATAGAAGGTTGCAACCTTAAAATGTAGAAGCACATATGCACCTCAAAAATCTATCGAAAATGTTGTTTTAATGTTGAAAAAACACTCTAATCGATCATCTCGACATTGAGATTTATGAATATAAAAAAAAATTTTGAGTCCCGAAAATAGTGCATCTTGCAACACATTATCTAGACCATCCATTTTCAAGATTTTCATATATTTATAGATCTACTTAATTTTAACTGTTTTTAGAATTTAAAATTTTCTAATTAGGTATGAAAATATATTTTAAAATAATACTAAAAAATTTGCACAACAAAATTACATGTTATGACATGTTATGATAAAATTTTAAGGTGCACCTTAATTGGGTTGTTCAATGTTGCAACCTTATAGAAACCGCACCTATATTTTTTTTATTTTTTTTTTCGTATTCGTATGTATCGGCGTTGAGATTTGAAATGGGGGGTTTTCAATGACAGAACAACCTTTTCCAGTCGTTTTATGAGTGGCTCTTTGCTTTTAAAGTTCAAGGTGTGATGCAAACGCTCTCAAAAGAACATAGTGCAATTTCATTGGCGTGGAAATTGGTCGATCATCTTTTATTCACATCATGTAAATAATTTTAATATAAGTAATGATCCTATCCTCCTATATCCATGTGTGTAAAACCCTATAGGATTATTATTAAATTTGGTACAGATCTTTTGAAAAGTCAAGCTTCACATTTGTGATAACTTTTCTAGAGATTTATGCCAAATTTAATAGTGATCATTTTGGGTCTTACACACATGGGTGTGGGAGGGTCTCATATGATCATTACTCTTCCAATATACATATGCATTTATACATAGATATAAAAGCTAATGACACTTTCATTGCACAAAGTTCCAATTCAAAATATTTATCTTATTTTATTATTTAAAGGAAAAAGTTTTTGTAAGGTTGCAACCTTAAAATATAGAATTAAAGAGAATTGCAAAAATCCATCGAAAAAAGTATGTTGATAAACCTTCTAATTGATCATCTCGACGTCGAAATGGATGGATATGACAAAAAAAGAAGAATTTTGCGTCTTAAAAATCGTGTGTCTTGCAACACATTATTTGGACTGTTTATTTTTTAGATTTCATCTATTTATAGATCTCCTTGACTTTAACCATTTTTGAAGTTTAAAATTTTATTATTAGAGATAAAAATAGAATTTCAGCACCAAAATTACACTTCATGATAAAATTTAGAGTTGCACCTTAATTTGATTGTTTAAGGTCGCAACCTTATACATCATTTATTTAATAATATTTATATTTTATTTTTAACTTATTTCTTATATTGTATATTTCATCTTTATCTTATGAAAAAAGATAAAATATTTGTATTTTGTGTCTATTCTTAAAAATTTCCATACACAACTCTCTTATCCAAAGTGCTATTTGGATTTTGTGTCTATTCTTAAAAATTTCCTTCCACAACACTGTTATCTAAAGTACAAAAATATTGGTGCTCCATTTAAAATGAGGGAAGTTATCAGATATACCTCCATAATTGTTTATATTTCAAACTTACATTTATTTTTTGTTTAATACATCTATATCCATTTCTAACTGTTTTTTCGTGAAAGGCATTTTTACCCTTGTGATGGCTCTTTTAGATCTGCTGTGGCTCGAAGGGTTGTTGGAACTGTGATGCAATGTAAAACCAATCGTAGAAGCCATCATAAGTAAAAATTGGGGTAATTGCACTGGGATGGACAAGGAGAGGGGAGTGACAGGGATGGAGAGGGACGATAGTAGCTGATGAGAGGAAGCACAAGGAGAGGGGAGTGACAGGGATGGAGAGGGACGATGGTAGCTGATGAGAGGAAGCAGGGCGAGGGTGTGTTTAAAGAGCGCCACTGATGTAATAGAGATCCGTAGCGTGGGTAAATATACAAAAATCATTAGAAAAGGGGGAGGGACGTATTAAACAAGAAAGAAAGATAAGTTCGAAATAAAGGGACCTATAACGAATATATTTGATAATTTATCTTAAAAATAATTAATGCCCCTTTAAAATAAGAGATATGTGATTTTAAGAAAAACTTGAGATGAAATGAGGGTTGTGCTTTCCCATTCCTTTGCAAGAATAGTTTTGGAGAAATAGTTTCCTTAAGAATACTTATAAGTAAATATTGAGAATGAATACGTGGAGAAACATAATCTAAGACTTCTAAATGTACTATGTTCTCCTAGATGTAAGTCTTTATCGAAGAGGGAGGGAAAAAAGAGAAAGTAATGGATAGATCTTCAAATTACACGGCGACTTATTTTTCTTCCTTGATAATGTAGATACGTTTTCCAGCTCTTACGACTTTGATATCTATTGTTGCCTTTTCAAAATTAGGATTATTGAATTTTTGTTGCTTTTCAAAATTAGGATTATTGAATTTTGTTTTTATTAAAGTCTATCCTCTCTGGTATGGATGATACTCCAAATTGCTTTTTTCTTTTTTCATGATATTGATCTTCAGAGGCAGAAACGGGAAAATTTCATTGGCCATGGTTTTAGGGACCTCTACCATATGGTTGGGCCAATTACACGCCCATAATTAAAGAGGGTTTGTATCCAGTGCCCACTTTCTACCATACAAGTGACAAACATCTTTAAATTTGGTTGGAAAATGTAGTTTCAGTATTAAAAATGTTACGATGGCTTGAAATCTATGTTCAACTACATTTATAAAAGTTAAGAATTTTAAAGATGAGGTAATCAAGTAGATCTATAAATACTTAAAAATCTTGAACACAAATTATTTAATACGAGAGGCATTATTTTTAGGACATGTGATTCTTTTTTTTTTTCTTTATATCCATACGTCTCAAGGTCGTGATGATCAATTGAAAGGTTTTCCGACTTCAGAATACTTTTTTTTACCGTATTTTTGAAGTGCACCTTACGTCTACAATATAAGCTTTCGACCTTATGTAAACCTTTCCATAATTAAATATACAAATGTCCAAAATTTGGAAGACCCACAAAATTAAGGTAACTACTAGTCCTTAACAAACAATCAACTGGGGCAATGACCCTTATTTTGTGAAGTAAAAGAGGTTTTTATCATGCTTGGTGCTTGCTCTCAAGAAATTGCAGACGAGGAATCATGGAGAATGGAAGAAGAAACAAAGGCAAGATAAGGAGCACATCACCAAAAAATCAAAATCATGGAATGATAATTAAACAGGGGAGGGTCGATAGTGGTTGATGACAGTGCGCATTAAAGAGTTGGAAAAGGAAATCCACCACCATCACTACCGGCCTCACCGTTCACCAAAAGTGGGCACGTTTATTAGAACTGTCGTTCACTTCCTATCTTTTGCGCCAGCGTGACTCAGCCAAAGTGCCCCAAAGATGTCGACGACAAACAAGTACCGCATCCCTCAATAGGGATGGTGCTCGGCCCAGGCCCGAGCTGAGTATTGGGCCCGACTTGGCGTGAGTTTTAATTATGGCCAAAAAGATTTAAAAAATAAATAAATAAACTAAAAAAATTCAAAACAAGAAGAAAATATCTTGAAAATACAATTGAACAAAACACATGTAATTAAGGTTAAAAAAGTATTGAAAAATGGATTTTGAAAAAATCAGTTCGTGACTAGCGGTAGTTTAGAAATAATTTTTTTAAAAAATTGTTTTTAAAAATAAGCATTTTTAACCTAAATACTTTCCAATCTTTACAAAAATGATAGAAAAGATTAAAAAACATATTACTAATAAATTTTTTATTTTTAAAATTTTTTATTATTCTTTGAATTTTTTAATAAGAGAGAAGGATGAGGGATGGGGAAGTGGGCTTCATTCACATTCAAGAAATAATTGGGCTGCGTTTATTTAGTCTTGGGTGTGCTATTTATTTATTTAGTCTGTAGTGGAGTGAGGTAAGGGAGGTCAATTGAGTGTCAGGCTTTCGAGTAGTGTGTTCTCCTACCCAGATCTCTTTCAATTTGTAAATTTGTTGTTTCCTCTTAAAGACATAGTGGAATCTGACATGAGAGAGGGATTACACATTCCACTCGTTTTCCCTTTTTTTTCTTTATTTTTTTACTTTCTCTTCTTTTTGTGGTTAACTTGGGATGCGGAACCAGTGACAATGGAACTAGGGATGCAACAAGCCGGCGTAACCCTAAATTTGATAGGGTCATGCCGGCTCATTACAAAACAAGATAAACAAGGGAAAAAACACGGAAAACAAAGGGCTGGGCCAATTTGGGTCAACCCTATCCTCATGCCATAATTGTGCGGCCATCGGGCCACAGTTTGTCTCTCAAGCCCGAGCTTTTTAGTGTCAAGCCGATTGGGCGGGGACAAGTGGCCCATTACCAACATTAAATGTAACTTTGGGTATCAGGTTGTGGTACTTGTTACCTTCACCACCTTTGCCTAGAGCTTATTTATATGCCTTCACAATAAAAAAGTACGTTTTTTTTTTTTTTGACAAATGCTCTTATTTTTTATCGATTACTATAAAAAAAGAAATTACATCATTAGAGATAATAAGAGAGGGTA